GTGTGTGTGTGTGCTTGAGTGTGGACCTCAGAGAATGTTAGAGGTAGAGTCGAGGGGGGGGGGCGGCATTGGCCATCTGAAGATCTCAGGTGGTAAAGGATGGATGCATTCACATTTATCTGTTTGTTTGTTTTGAGCCAGACTCTTGATATGTAGTTCTTGCAGTCCTTGAGCTCTGTAGACCAGGCTGGCCTCCAATTTACAGAGAAGTCATCTGCCTCTGCCTCCTGAGTGCTGAGTTGTAAAGGTGTGCAGAACCTCCCTGGCCTTGGCTGTTTACAGTCCTTCCTTTAGAGTGCTGAGATTACAGACATATGCTACTGTGCCTATTTCTTTCTTTTCTTCATTCCCCTCCCTTACTTTTTCTTCCTCTTCTTTTTCCTTTGTGGTGTTGGAGTCTAACCTGGAGCCTGGCACATGCAGGGAATAGCTTTTTTCTTCTTTGAGACAGGGTCTCACTATGTAGCCCTGGTTTACCTGGAATGCTGAAATTAAAGGTGTTCACTCTTTATCACCAGACCATATTCTCTCTCTCTCTCCACACACCACAGCTTGAGTTCTTTTTGTTGAAATAGGATTTTTCTATGTTGCCAAGGATGGCCTTGAACCCCATTCCCTAGGGCTGGGATTACCTAGTTGGTTCATAAACCTTGTGGTCTTCAAAGATGTGTGTATGGGGAAGTGAGGCCAGTTTGATCTACATAATGAATTCCAGGCCAGTCAGGACTACACAGTGAGACCCTGTCTCAACAAACACACACATTGAAGGCTACAGAGTGAGTGAGTTCCATGCTAACCAGGTCATTTTGGCAACACCAGAAAGACAAAAGGAAGGAGCAGGGCTAGACAGACAGCTTTGCGGTTAAGAACACTTACAAACCAGGCAGTGGTGGTGCAAGCCTTTAATCCCAGAATTTGGGAGGTGTTCAAGCAGAGTGAGTTCCAGGACAGCCAGGGCTACACAGAGAAACTCTGTCTTGAAAAACAAAAACAAACAAACAAAAAGAACACTAGCTGTTCTTTTAGGGGACCCAGGTTCAGTTCCCAGTACCCACGTGGCAGCTCACAGAGATCTATAACTCCTGTTTCAGGGGATCCAACATCCTCGTCTGGACTCTGGCTACCAGACATGCATGCAGCACTTGTACATACAAACAAGCACAACACTCATATATATTTATATGGTGTGGTTTGCGGGAACATTTTTCATGGCGTCAGGATGGCTAAAACCAGATCAGGTAGCAACTGACAAAGACAACTCAGAAATGGGGTATGTGGGTTCTGTATGAGGGAGATGGTTTAAGATCCCTTTAATATAACTTTTGTGACTAAAAATAGAGGGCTTATTTAATTATATTATCTATTTCTGTGACAGGGTCTCACTAAGCCTGGCTGACCTGGCATTTGTGTGTACCAGGCTGACCTTGAACTTTCATCCCAGGAGTGCTGGGATGAAAGGTGTGTGCCATCCAGCTTTATTCATTTACTTATTTTTAGAATGATTTTACTATATCGTCTAAGCTGGCCTTGAACTTGTAACCCTTCTACCTCAGTCTCCATAGAAGGAAAGGTATGTTTCACCATGCTTGGCTCTAAGAAAGGAAGCTTGATGATAAAGAATTGGTTTTACACACAAGGGACATAGTACCAGATGTTTCTACATTCTAGCACATTTAGGACATGGAAACCAGAGCATTAAGGCCTGGGAATGTAGAGCCGTGGTAGAGCACCTGTTTAACATGCACAAGGCCCTGGGGTCAATCCCTAGCCCTGGACTAGGGTTCCAGAGAAGAGAGGTTGTTAAGAGATAGGCCAGAGCCGGGTGGTGGTGGTGCACACCTTTAATCCCAGCACTTGGGAGGCAGAGGCAGGCGGATCTCTGTGAGTTCAAGGCCAGCCTGGTCTGCAGAGTGAGTTCCAGGACAGGCTCCAAAAGCAATACAGAGAAACCCTGTCTGGAAAAACCAAATAAAATAAAACCAATAACAAATACGTAGATGGACAAGAGGGCAGTGGCCAAGCTGAGCAGGGATGATGGTTGCCCACCAGGGATTTTTGAGCTTAACTGGCTTTCCTCTCCTCCCAGGGACCAGGACGCCTTAAAGGAAGCTCCGGCAGCATTTCCCAGCTCATCAGGCCTTCTTGCACCACCTGAAACCCAGTGACCTCAGAAATCCACTGTCCCCCCAAAGCAACCTCCGAACCTCCTGGTCCCTCCCACTCACCCCCAAAATAAAGGAGCCAAAAGTGGACACAAGTATTAATCTTAAATTATTATTATTTCTTCCTGTCACTTACACCCGAGGTGGGGGCAGGGGTAGATGAAGGGAACGGGAGAGGGGGGAAATGCTTTCCCCCACTAAGGCACTGAGTGGGAGAGCCACAAGTAGAGATGGAGGCCACACTGTCCCCACTTTCTGGGACTAAGCCCCAGGTTTCTCCAGCCCTGGGCTCCCCTATCACCTGAAATGCTAAGATGAGGCCCAAGGCACCCGACCTCCCTCCTAATATATTACATCATCACTTTTAAATAGATACAGGGACTGGTCCCGCCACCCCTCCCTGTTTGACCCCTCCCCACTGTTGGGGGTACCTGGGCAGCTGTGCAAATGGGCATGGAGGTGCATGGGGAGAGGAGAGCACCGGGCCCCTGAACCTGCCCCTTTTAAGGAGGGGGAAGGGCCACCAGGCCAAAGGGGGAAAATAGTGCAAGGCAGAGCCCAGGCCGCAATGGGGGTCCAGCACCCAGCGAGGAAGGGGTAGGATTGAAGATTCTTCTCCACCCCAGGAGAATTGGTAGTTTAAAATGTGAAATTGGATTTCAACAAGACCATCAGAAGAGGCTATGTACAGAATGGGGGTGGACTCAGTCCTTAAGAGTGACAAGCAAGGTCTCAGGAAAAAAGAGTCCTTTCCTCTAGATCCGCTCCGCAGCTCACTTTTCCCAGGGACAAGTGGGGGCACCCGTTCACAGGCCAGGATGGCTGGGTGTGACACTAACTCACTAAAGTGGTCACTGGGGGGCGCTCGCCCTTTCAGGGCATGGCCACCAGATGGCGCTGGCTCGCCCGCTCCCCGCAAGGCTACCTCAACCCGTCACCCCATCCCACACCCAGCACCCGCCAGCCCGGGGGCGGCGTGAGTCAGGGGCAGCATGCGGCAGAGGCGGCTCTGGCTTGCACCTGGGCGGGGAGGTAGGGAGGAGAAGAGGGTAAGACGCCCGGCCCGCCCTGCCCTCTGGCCTCAGGGAGGGAGCGCCAGGAACAAGACATTCCCTGCCCCAGGACGCGGGAGGGGAGAGGTGGAGAGCTCCCTTAGTTGGGCGGAGCCCTTCTGCTACCCCCAGGGGCGGGCGAGCCAATCAAGCCACCCTGCCCCCTTCTCCAGGACCCCATGACTCAGCATTGGAACTGGGTGGAGGGGGGACTGGGATGGCTCCGTCCTTACAGGCCCAGTCCCCCCCTCCAGGCTTTCAAGCTTCCACCTTGTTTCCCCTCACTTACCCTTCCTTTGCCACCCCCCTTTGCATAATTTACTGCCAGGAAAAGGGAACAGAAACCAGGAAGGGGTCTCGGAAGGGAGGGGCAGTCCACCCCCTCACACACAGCCAAAACCCAGGGGGCATGGGAGTGGGGCAAGGCTTTGGTCCCAAGCCCCAGTCTCCTAGAAACCCGCATAGCCGAAGTGGGACCCCACAAATCAGAGATAGATTATTGCTTCAATTCCCCAGTAGCAGCTGGAGACAGGGACCCCACCTTTGCTGTGTGTGTGTGTGTGTGTGTATATATATATATATATATATATATATAT